ATTGTGCATTCAAATATGCAGGTTGTTGCCTTTTTTTTTTCTTTTTAGCACCAGATAGTGGCTATTTAATAGTCAGAATAATAGCGCAAATATGAGCCCTTTTAAAATTTCTTTTTGTACTTTTGAAATACTTAATAAAATTATTGTTGCTGACTCAGGTGTCAGGGAACAGTTTAGTAGGTTTGGTGGTACTAGAGAATTAGCCTTTCAGGTCAAGAGGGTCTGTTATTAGTGAATTACATGCACASAACTTCTAAGTCTGTTAAAACCAGACTATAAAGGTTATAAATCACTGGTTCCTAAATAACTAGTTCTGTCATATTTCTGTAAAGGATGAATCGTAAGGTTTAAGGCACTACACAACTAGTCGATCTGAAGACTTCTTTTCACATTAGTTGTTATTTACATGCAGCACTTTCTTAATTAAAAAAAAAATCACATACCTTTAAACTTAGTCACATTCTGTTAGTACTTAGGCATACTCTGTTAATTTTGGACTGAAACACTACCCTCAGTATTTAGCAGTATTTATCTTAAAAAAAAAAGGGCAGTGGTACGGTATGTATTCCCTATTTTTTCCTTTTGAATGTTCAAATGTTCTTTTCCTTGGCAAGAATGAAAAACAACAGTCATCTGAGAGAGAGCAGTCTCTTTCTGCCCTCAGATTTCATATTCCTTCAGATCCTTTCACTGTTTAGCCATTAATTCTCAGGGTTGCAAGGAGAGAAGTGCACATTCCGCCACAGCGCCGAGCGGATCTAACTGATGCTATCTCTCTCCTCTGACCTTTCTGTAGCAGTATTCATTAATCGACCATAGCACCAAGTCTTCTGTTCAGGGGATTAGGGAATTGCATGGCAATAGCATATTGAGCTTTTCACCTCTAGCTGGTAGTGCTTAAAAATGCTTACAAGATGAATATTGTTAGAAAACGTAGTTATTTTTTAGCAATARCTCATTCTTTTGCTGCAAGTTACTGAGAAGGAGCTACATGCCAAACTACTGTAGCTGATTAACGTTTTTCAGTTGCAAGTGGTCAAAATGCCATGATTTTCAACTCTTTTTTTTTCCTGTCAAAACATTTCTCCGTATTCAGTGCTTTGAAAATAATTGTAAAAAATGTAGCAAATATTCTGTTTGCCGTTTTTTTCTTCTTGACTTCAGTCTTCATGTTCTTTTGGCTCTCGCTGTATGAGCTGTGGGTGTAATTACACATTTTTTTTTCAGAATTGAAAAAAAATGTGAAGAGAATTTGTTTCTGAATCTAAAAGCACAGGAGTTTCTGGTCTAAAAAGCAAATTAAACACCTCTTCAGCAAACCTAGGGGAAAGATCCTATTGCCTACCCACCATGGAAAGCAAGGGGCTGAAGAAACGTCAGCATTTCTGCAGGTTTCTATTGCACTTGCCTTGCTAGCCACAAGAGAGGTTATTTTTAGCAGTGGCTGGAGAGAAGGACAGGTGCATGTCCCACAAGGACAGCAGTCCCTGTCTCCTCTGGACATCTGTCCTTGCCCTGGTGCTCCCAGGAAACAGCTGTGTTTGCATCTGGCTGYTGAAGCGGGAGAGAAGCGCTCGACACACGGATGGCTGGCGGCGTGGGAAGAGCTTCTGCTCCTGATGCAGTGCAGAAAGAAGGGCGACTTCTGAGGTCTGCACCCAGTGCCTCCACCTGCCAGCACTGTGCGTTTCATATGGGGGAGCACCAGGGCACCTATATAGCACGCATACCTGTATAGCATTGACCTAACACCCTCCTACCGCAGGGGGTCCTGAGGCTTTCTAGCATATGTAATCCAATTTGCTTAGACGGTCTGAAATCACAGAATCACAGAATCACAGAATATTCAAGGTTGGAAGGGACCTCTAGAGATCATCCAGTCCAACCTTCCCGCTCCAGCAGGGACATCCAGAGCATGTGGCACAGGGGGACATCCAGGTGGGTTTGGAAGACCTCCAGAGAAGGAGAAATAGCCCCATCCCTACCTTTACCCACTCCCCTCCCCAGAAAAAAAAACCCATACCTGAATTTCTCAGCAGATTGCTTTTATGAAAGTATAAGTGATATTCCTTTTAATAGCTGGGCTATGCACTCTACTTTCTCCAGGATGCCTGAGAGACTTCGGGAAAAAAGAGATAAACCTGATAGGAACAAAAAAAACGTGTGATGCTGATCAAATCTCATCCTGAATGTCTTGTTAGTCAGAAACAAGCCATAAAATAGGTTGACTGTCAGAGACTGGGACTTCCACACCAAAATTTTATAGAATGGTCTCTTCTTGCTAGACGAGAAATGGTAAGGATAATACATACATGCACACACACAAAAAGCAAAAGAAAGACAAGATGAACATTTCTCCTTAGTTGAACCCACTAAATCCCATTTTGTGTGTTTTACAGGTTTGCATTAGTCTGCTGAAGGAGAGAAAGGGCTGCAGCCCCTTTCGGGGACCAGGGGCAAAGGGAGATGGGATGGTTGTGTCCCATCCTCCTGTCGGGGTGCAGGGCAAGGGGATTAACTSTCTTTCTGTGCCAGAAGGGGCAAGTTCACCTTGGTGCAAACTGCACCATCCTTCAGAGGTGGCAGAAAAGAAGTCTCTTGGGATGTTACCAGTCTGTAGACAAACTGCTCATGTCCTTGGAAACTTTCAAGATTCCGTGTATGTGAAAGAGCAGTACCAAAATTTGCCTCTGCTTTTACTTGGGCACATGTGAGACGAATTCGCCCTGGTTAGTGCAATGCCACTTATCCACAGACAAGTCAAACACACACACAAGAAAGCACAGGGTTCAGGTCTTGCATGATTTTCTTGCAGAGTGGAACAATTTTGGATCGAGCTGGAGAGACACATAATTGTGCACAAGTGACAGGGACGTGCATGGCTGCCAACAGGTCACAGCGGGGGACGCAGAGAGTATGCCTGCCTAAAGGGGGACACAAATGATAGGCTTTTATTAATGATCCAAACACTAGAGATGGTGCAAACACAGGAAACAAAACCAGCTCAAATTTACACCAATACTTGTGGCTTGGGCATCCCCTCCAATTCTTGCATGAGAATCACAGAGAAATATCCAAATATCTGAAGTATCTAACAGAATAATGGCAGAAAATTACTCTTTCTTAAAGGTAGTGGGTTAACTGGGAAAATTCTTATGAATTGCAGCACATTTGCCTAGGTATTGCTATGAAACGTGTCTTTCCCGCCAGTCTGACAGGATGCATCTGCTGCCTGTAGAAGAGCCAGCTACGGAGAGCTAAACATGCCATGTAGACCTCACCCTCACCCGATCCAAGTCTCATCCCAGTCAACAAAAAGATTTCTTTTGGCTTTCTCGGAAGCTGCATTAGGACTTTAAAAGCCTTATATTTTAAAACATTCCTTGGAGGCTCTGTTTGCTTTAAAACCACAGAGAAGTAAATGCAAAGCTGCATTAATATTTAACATTGGGCTGTAAAAAATAGTATCTTAGAGTCAGGACAGCTGGTGCAAGTTTGATCTACAACATCATTTCAAAATGAAAATGCAGAAGAGAGTAGAATATCACATCTTGACGTTAGAAATGTTTTCTTTAATACCTAATTTTCTAGTTTCTATACATATGCTTGCTAAATAGCCATGAAAAACCTTATGCATTTATACAACTTTTTGATTTGCTTTTTCTGTCCAGTGGCATGGGTTGGATTTAAAGTTATCAAAGCAGTAAAAAAACAAACAAACAAACAAACAAAAGGTCAGAGAGAAAAAGGTAATAGGCTGGTTATAAATAAAAAGAAACAAACACAAATATATTGCTCGTGGACTTTATCTGGATTTGGCCAGGAGTCGATGCTCTTGATAGATGGTTCTCAGCACGCAGTTTTATTGCTGGTACACAGCACACTTTGTTCCTTTTGTTTCACTAAACCTGCCAACTTTTAAAATTAGTGACACAGGCATTCAAAATGTTTGACAAGTGGTCAGGCTCACATATACATATTCATACCCCGGCGGTAAATGATGGCAGGAAGTTCAAGATGCAGTAAAAATAAATTCCTCAGTTGAGCCCAGCTTTAGTGTAACACGAGTTTCATGAGCACTTCCACGGTGAAAGCAGGAGTGCCTCTCGGGTAGCTCACAAGGGACCCATCATTTAAAGAAATGTTTCTTTGCTTGCACCAGAAGTCCAAATCTGCTCAGTTCATTTAAAATACTTTTTCCCCCCCCCTAGCATAAATGAATAAGCAGTTCCTTTTGTGGTTTTCCTGGTGCTTGGTGACTTGCTATTATTCTTGCAGCAGCAAAAGGATCAGAGGCTCCTACCAACAGATGTGTCCCTCCTCCTCAGCCCTGCTCTCGCCCTCCTGGTTTGGAAAATAAAGGTGACAGGTCTGGTGTGCGTCTAAATGGGGCTATAAATCATATATATAAAGGAAATAAGTTAGAAAGGAAAAACTCCTAATATTAAATAATGAGCTATGCTTTTTAACCCTTAGAGCACTGAGCTGCTTCAGTGACCTGCCCATGCACTAAATCCCTCTGCTTCTGCGTGCGAAGGAGGGAGAGGGGCCGGCGCGGAGGGCAGGGGCACCCCGAGCCCCGCGGAGGGGCAGGGGCCTCCGCGGCGCCCCGCGCGGCACCAGCGGCCGCGTTTCCGCGGGGACGGAGCTGCCGCCGCACGTCCCGTCCGGGAAACGCCACGAAAGAAAACTGAAAGATAAAGGAAAATAAGAGGTGAAAAAGAAAGGGGGG